AATTAATAAATTAGATTATTCTTGAGAACATTCTGGAATTAGAGCCCCAAGAAAGGGGGAAGACAGAAGCCAATGGAAGCAGGGCACCTAACCGAACAGTTAGACATCACCCCGTCCGGTGAGCCCTGAAGGCCAACTGAGAGTAGGGGGAGGGGCACCTACCCAGCCATTCCCGGGAAAGCGTTCCCAGAGGCACAGCCCCAGGCCCACGCCACCAGGTCTTAACCGCGAAGAAAGGCTTCTCCCTTTTCCCTTGAGCTTTCCCGAAACCCAGTTCTCGGCTGGGCTGGCGTAGGGGAGCCAAGGGGCCCAGAAGACTCCCTAACCTCCTGAGTCATCCCCCGACTCCCGGCGCCTGACGCCTAGCGTTTTACTATGCTCTTGGAGAAGAGCCCTCTGCCTCCTTTCTCCGCTGAGAGAGCTGGATTGTCCTTCACTTTCACAGAACTGGAACTGGAGGCCTAGGGACATGGCCGGGCTAAGGGTCGGGGCCAGGACACGAACGCGGCTCTCAGCGTCCCCAGTTGCCTTTGGGCAAACGGGGAGACCGACGTCTGCAGCATTCACGATGAGAGGCGAACATCTCAGAAAGTCCGGGCTCCAGACTGAGACCTGGTTCGGACTTCCTCTGAGCCTCAACTTCTACCGAGCCTTAGCTTCCACCTCTGTAAAATGGGAGGAGTTGACGCTCCTTGCCAGTTGCTGAGATTAGAGATGGGCCCTATCTGGGGCCTGTGCGCCACAGGCACACACTAGGCACATTTAGTAAACACCAGCCATAGTTAGCAAGCCCCTCTTTGTAATTCACCAGGGTGTAATTCGTCTGGTACCGCGTCCCGGGGCGCCTGGAGTTCAGGGGGTCCACCGAGACCCCGCCCCCCGCGCGCGGCTGGAGCCACCCGGTGGGGTTTCGGCGCGCTGACGTGGGCGGATCAAAGCGGCCGCCCGCGCCTTATAAAGCAGTTTGGGCAACTCGCGGAGATTGAGCCCGGCTAGGGGGAGAGCTCCTGCGAGCTGGCGAGCGCAGGCCGGGATAGTGGAGCGCAACCGCGAGGAGCCCGAGTCCGCCGCAAAGTCCGCGCCCGCCGGGAGCCGGCCGCCGCTTGCCCAGATCTCGGGTGTCCTTCTCCGGCCGCTTCGCAAAGAAGGGCGCCCTTGTCTTCTGCGCAACCCCGAGTGCGCTCCGGCCCGCTGGGGGTCGCGCTCGCCACTCCCCGGCCCGGCCCGTGTAGAGGGGACACAGGTCGCGCCCGACGAGCGTCCTAGGAGGTGAGCAGGGGCCAAGACAGCGGGGCGGGCGCTCAGTGGGAACCTGCTGGGACTGGGGTCGCCCGAGTCTGAACGGGGACAGCGCTTCTCGAATCCACCGCGACGCCCGTGGGCACCTACTCCCCAGGAAGCTGACAAGACTCCTCCACGCGTCTCCACAGCTCTTTGAGGAAATCCCCTACCTCGGAATACAGCCTGTGGAGTCTGGGAGCGCGAGGGTTAGGAGGGTGCATGATGGAACGGGGGGGCTGTGTAGTTCCTGCCGGCGCCCCCAACTTTCTCGGCTCTGCTTCCCCGGACTTGACCCCCTCCTTCCGTGTCGGCCCGCAGATGAGGTCATACCCGAGCCATTCCGGGGGTGGGGGATTTGGATCCTATGGCAAAGGATGTGTGTGGCGGAGCGGGAGAAGGTGGCAGAGGACAGAGAAATTCGGCGGCTCTTACCGCTGCTTAAGCTTTCAATTAGGGAGCTAGGTGCATGCCTCGCTTTGGGAACAGCCAGGATAGGCGGCGGCGGAGGGAGAATCCGGAGTTTGTTTACGGTCCTGAGCTCTAGGCTAGGAAGTGGGGAGTAGGAGAGTCCTGTCCTCTGCCCCTGCGGCACATCTGGACCCGCCCGTAACATCTGGCCCCACATCACCATTCCCCGACGCTGGGATGCCTCCCGGTCCCTTGTGGTCCTTGAGCGCGTAGGGTTCTGCTCCAGCGGAGTGGTAAACCCCCATGTTCCCCTACCCTACGCTTCCGGCTTCCAAAATAGCCAGTCTCCCAGGTGACTCGGCGCACACTGTCCTCCACAGAGCAGACAGATCTTGCAAGACTCGGGCCCGGGGTCAAAGCCGGGTTAGGGGTGGGCCTCCCTCCGCCTAGCAGGTAACCTTGAATTGGTCTCTCGGTGTCGCCGGCTCGCGGGCTCCGTTCTATAAGCTGTGCAGCCCGAGGCTTCAGGCCTGGAGGGTGCAGACTTTCCGCACCTCGTGAACTGCCCCCGAGCTAGGTGTGTCGGGGTAGGGGAGGCTTTGCAGGTCCCTGGCGGCTTGGCGCCGGGGAGGGGAGGGTTCTGCAGGAATTTCCAGAGCTTAAGCCTTATAACCACCTGTTGGCGGAGCAGGGCTGCGGCTGCCGAGCTCGCGGTGCTCAGCGTGCGCACAGCCCGAGGCGGCTCAGTTCCCCGCTGGCTTCAGGCGGAACAGTCTGGGCTTTTTTCTCAGAGGGGGTAGGAAGGGACAGCTTGGCTCTCCAAAGATACTGCGCTTTGACGCGGGCGGACTACGCGCCTCAGCCGCCAGGGAGACTATGTGCCCGGCCTGAAGCAAGAGGTCGGACAGTTCAGAGCTCAGCACAGCAATCAGATGTCTTATAGAACGACTAGAACTACACTCTGCACCCCATCCCACCCGTAGACCCGGACACTGGGGCCCAGGAAGAGGACGGGATTTTCCCAAGTCTCAGCGCTCGGGAGGTAACAGCGATTCCGACCTCGAACCCGGGCTTAGCGCCCCCTAGCGGGCCGGGGGCTCGGGGAGCCGGGTGCGCCCTGACCCTTCCTGAGGGTGACCCAGCAGTCCGCACAGCTCTCCTGGACTCTCTTAGTTAGGACCCAGAGGCTGGGGCAGACGTTTGCCTCCCCCAGCGACGAGCTGGGATGGTGGAAGGAGCAGTCCGGGACCGCCCGGGCCGCAAGGACAAAGCCGGGAAAAGTTGAAGGCCTGGGTTCCCGTCCGCGGCGTGACCCAGGAGGCCCCTTCTCTCTCTGGGCGAGTTGGGCTGGACGAGGATCCCCTGCTTTGAGTCCCTCTCTCCTCCCTCGACGTGCAGCACCTACCTTCTCCCTGTCCAGGAATGCTGGACGCCTTTGGGGAGCACCTTTTGGGAGATTGGCAGGAGAGACAGTGACTGAAGTTTTGATCTTCTGCGCCACCTCCTCCCTCCCCCCCATCCAGCTGATACTATTTTCTCGTTCTGAGGATCGTGGTGAACTTTCAGAGCCAGGAAGACAAAGCCTTCAGTTACAGGCTGAGTGGAAGGAGGAGGCTGTTAACAGCGAGAACCCGCGGAGGGATCCTTGACCAACGCCTCTGTACTGGGCGCCTTGCTGGGGGTTCCGAGGAAGGGGGGAAATGTAATTTAGGGTTTTCTTTTTGCCTTCCCCTGAGATATTCTGGAAGATTCCAGAAAATAGTGGGATTTCATATATGTGTGTTCAAGGCATACACGTACATGCACACATTACACAGGTATACGTAATAGTGGAAAAACTTAAGCCAGGGAGGGAGCTCAAGGAACCGCAGACTTTTGGGTGCCTGGAAAGGTCTCAGGAGATGCGCGGTGAAGTGCAGTCCCCTTGTTTTCACGGAAAGGTAAAGTGAGGGTGAAGCGGTGGTCAAGGGCTTGCCCGAGCTCACACAGCCAGATGAGAATTCCACCTCCCGGTCCAGCGTCCCCCAACTAGGGCCGGCGCCTCCTTCTTCCAACGCCCCCAAACCTTTTAGAAAGGAATCTCTTTGTCTCTGCTGCTCCTCAGGGGAGAAGAGCTGAGGCTGTGTGTGACTCCAGGCGAGCCAGGTGTTGGTAAATTTGGGAGAAGCTGGGAAGGGAGTTAATGAGGTGAGAATGAAGAGGGGGAAAAAGAAAAAGAAAAACGCAGAGAAAGTGGCTCTGCGGCTGCCGGAGGCTGAGCAGAGGCTCCTCCGCGGCCCGAGCGCGCCGCCTGGCGGCTGGAGATGGCATCGTGCTGGCCCGGAGAGCTTCCCTGCTTCACCCAGACTGGCGGTCCCGCCCTGGTTCCGACTGTCCAAAGGGAAGAGTCTGGAGAGGGATTCGGAGGCCCAGGCCCAGAAGGCTCTTACTATACAGAGAATTATGCTATCTCCTGTCTCAGTCTCCTGTCACAGACTGGAAAACTAATGCCTAGAGTCTTTTCTTACATGGTCCATGATCTCACTGGACTCCCAGGTGGGCATTTGAGTCGAACACTACCCTTGTTCTATCTCATGGATGAGAAAACTGAGCCCCAAGGAGGCAGGTCAGTTTCCTCATCCGTAAGATGGGGGCAGTGATAGCACCCATCTCACAGGGTTGCTGGAAGGAGCAAATGTGAGAGTGTTAAGTGCATGAATCGTCTTCGCCAAAGGAGAATTGTTCTTGAATCACCCGCCATTTAGAGGTGGGAAATTGAGGTCCAGAGGTGGAGGAGAATTGCCAGACCCATAATAACGAATTCTATAGGTATTGCAGGGATGAGAACCCAGCTCTCGGGCTCCGAATTTGCTTCTCCTCCTCTCGCCCTCGACCTCCTGTCCCTTTGTCCTGTGCTCTCTCTGCGTCTGGGTCTACCTGGGTTTCGGCCTCTGCCGCCGTCTCTTACAGCATCGTTCTCTGAGTCTCTCTCCCTCTCGCTGTCGGGAGCCTCCATTTCTCCCGTCTCTCCCGGTGCCTCTGGTCCTCTCGCCCCCAGCCCTTCCCACTGGCAGCCTGGGTCCCAGCCGGAGCTGCGCAAAGGCGCGGCTGCGGCCGGGGGCCCGCGGGCGCTGCGTGCGGGAATGGACACGCCCTCGACCGGCTCCGGGCCGCACCTAGGTAATTCGAGCCAGACGCCGGCCGTGTCCCCCGGCTGTCCGCGCGGGAGGGGACGGCCGCCGCATGCTCAGCCTTCCTAGGCCCCGACCCCTCCTTTGTAATTTGAATAAAATGCCCCCCTTCGTGTCCCCCGCCCAGCCAGCCGCCTTAACCCGCCGCCTCCGCTCTCCCCTACTGCAGGCGGCGTGTGCGCAGGAGAAGCGGCGTCGCCGTGGGGGCGACTGGACTTCGGCGCGGCTCCTCGAGGGTCCGGCCTCCCGGCGCGCCGGGCGCGCAACGATGAGGGCGCGGCCGCAGGTCTGCGAGGCGCTGCTCCTCGCCCTGGCCCTCCAGACCGGCGTGTGCTGTGGCATCAAGTGGCTGTAAGTAGGAACCCCCGCGTCCACACAGACGGGCCCTGGGACGGGCGGCTGGGGCTGCGGAGACCGTTAAAGGGCCCCCCTCCCTGGATCCGGCGAGAGCGCGTGAGACCCTGGAACCGCCCTTGGCATGGGGGTCGTGGACAAGATATTCTTCTTCTGCCTCCGTTTCCTCTTCTGTAAAATGGAACTAACGGTCGTCCTTACCTCCCTGGCGGTGGAGGCTAGGGTAGTGAAGCTAGAGTGAGACAGGCCACTGAGGAGCTGGGAGACGGAAAAAGACTTTTCTTTTCTCATCTAGGGACGAAATCAAGAGGGTTTGCCTCAGGCACACAGGGGCCAGCTCAATGCTCTGTTTCCTTGTCATTCTCTGACCGCAGCTGTAGGTCCTCAAACACAGGCCTGACCCCTTCACTTGGGTGACCTTGGGGAAGTCACTCAACCTCTGAGAGCCTCAGTGCCCTCCCTCAAAGGAGGGTAAGAGTCACCCCTCAGATCAGATGAGAAGAGGCTATGAAAGAATCTCGTAAACCAGCATGTGCTGTGCACATGTGACAGGTAGTCCCTTAGATATAAATTATGAATGGTGGGATAGGTGGGAGAGAGCTCACTTCAGTCCTGAAGAAGGGAGTGCCTGCTCTATTGGGGGCTGCGGACAGTGCTGGGAAAGAGAGGAGTAAACCCAGCCCTTCCTGGAGGAAGGGTCGGAGAGATAAGCTCAGGCCGTAAATAACTCTGAGCAAGGCAGAAGCTGTCCAAGTGCCCTGGAAGAGACCAGAGCCCTGTGTGCGTTGGGGGGGGGGGCTCAGAGGAGGCAGAGGAGGGAGAGACTACACAGTGGAGGGGCATAGACTTGGGGCTGGAGAGACTTTCAGTGGGGAGGTGCCCCTAGGCTGGGTCTGAGGAGTTGCTTGAAGGTGGGGGCAGTGTCAGGAGGAGGGCACTTTGATGGGGGGGCTCCTTGAGCAAAGGCTAGTGGTGGGAAAGTCCAGGACAGGACATGGGTCTGGTGTGTGGGGTGGGGATAGGGAGCCGTGCAGATAAAACAGGAGGGAACAGGTTATGGGGGCTGGAGAGGGGCCTTGAGGAGGGTTATGAACTGGGATTAACTGGAAGACAAGGGCGATAGTGGCTGGGCCGCCAGCAAACAGTCTGGAGGTCATCAGCCCTGCTGGGGCTGAGTTATCGATTAATTAGTGATTCAAGAGGGAAACACCATCATCTTGATGTTTCTTGTTTGCAAGGAGAATCCTGGGCTCAGTGTTCTCCCAGCCCTGGGACACTACCTTTTCCCAGCTGTCTCTGACAAGTATTGTAGGTACCCTACACCATGGGAGCAGGTGGGAACCTCTGCCCAGTGAGCCCAAGTCCTCCCCTCCCCTCCACCATTTTGCAGATAAGGAAACTGAAACTCAGAGTGGTAAAGGTTTTGCAGAAAAGCACAAGGACTGTCAGAGGCAGAGACCTCTTGGGTGATGTTTGATGCTCATAAAAGTGTTGTGGGGGATACTGTTATCCCTGCCCCACAGTGGGAATGCCAAAGCTCTGAGAAGTACATGACTCTGAGGTCCCCAAATTGGCATGTAGTGGACTATGTGCTGGAATAGATGGCTGGCTGAGCCCAGAACCCAAGCTATCCATACCGTATACCTCCGGCTCTCACAGAAATGGGAACAACTCAGTACTTGCCCTAAAGAACTCACAGCCTCTTGGGGCAGACAGACATGCAAAAACTACAAAGTGTACTGGTCTGGGTCCTAGGTGATGACCCACAGGAGCCAGAGGAGAAGTGGTTCATTCCACCTAAAGACATTGGCAAAGACTCCATGGGGAGGTGACTTTTGGGCTGGGCTTTGAAGGATTGTTAGGAGCTTGATAGGCAGAGATGGACCGCAAAGCAGGCATCCTACATGGAGGAACAACATAAGGAAAAGTTATAGAGGCCGGACAGTACATATGAGGAAACTTGGAGAAACCAGGCATGACAGGAGTCTAACAGTAAATGCCCCAGACATTGTTTCAAGAGCTTTAGCCACTCATCTTGATAACACTCCTATCAAAAAAACCAAACTCACTGCCATTGAGTTGGGCTTCCGAGGCAGTATCACTACGGAAGTCGATTGCCCCATCTTTTGAACCGCTCAGCCTTCTGGTTAGCAGTTACATGCCTTAGGCACTATGCTACCAGAGCTCCCGATACTCCTGTGAGGCAGGTGACATTCTTATTACTGTCATTTTGCAAATGAGGAAACTAAGGTATAGAGAGGTTAAGTAACTTGCCCAGGGTCTCATAGCTAGTTAATGGTGGCTGTGGGATTGGAACCCAGGTATGCTGTTTCCATTAGGCCATATCTCCTCACAGTGATTATACTCTTGCTGGGAGCTCTGGTGGTGTAGTGCCTAAGACATTTGACTGCTAACCAGAAGGCTGGTGGGTTTCAGCCACTCCTTGAAGGAAGACTGGGCAATCTACTTCCGTAGGGATGTCACCTTGGAAACCCAAGGAGGGGTCCCTATGAGTATGAATCGACTCCATGGCAGTGAATTTGGATTTTTTTTGGAGCTTAAGATAGTGAGGGAAGCAGGAGAAGAAGTAGAGTTTGAGAATAACGTGTCAGGCATGTTTTGAGTGCTATATGGAGATTGTTTCATTTAAATCTTCCAACTACCCAGTATAGTGGGTTCTGTTATTACCTACCTTAAACAGAAGAGGAAATGGAGGCACAGGGGCTTCTTTCACTCAGGGGTGTCAAGCTAGTAGGTGGTAGAGGCAGGCTTTGGAGTTAGGCTGTCTGGCTCTGGGAGCTGTGTGTTTCATAGCCTGCTGCTGGTTGCAGGAAGCCACAGAACAGTTGGGAACAGGGAAGTGCCCAATGGGGGTGGGAGACTGGGGACTCATCCAGGGTGCTCAGCTGTCCTGGGGTTGTCAAGGGTCAAGGGGCCTGCTACCCTGGACTTTGGAAAGTGAGCTGGAGATGAAAGGGGCATTTGACACGGGAAGTGAAACCAGATGTGGCTGAGTGACCTGGAATGGTGGCTACCTGTTGGGGGCCTGGGACTCAGCCTGAGCTCCTTGGGGGGCTGGGGGGCTGGGGGGAAGAGGTTAAAGCCCATGGAGGCACCTGACCAGAAATAACCTGGGGGACCCTTCCTCCGCCCCACTGCCCACAGACAGTAGGCCTCACATCTAAGCTGGGTGCTGGGAGACTCTCAGGCCACCAAGTATGTGTGGAGGACCCAGGTCTGGGCTGCCTGCCTTCCGCTCGGGCTACCCTGGGTGGGGGAAGGGGATTAAGGTGGTTCCAGTCTCTTATGAACCACTGGGGTTGTCCAGTGAGGGGAAAGGGGCAGCCCGAGTTCGCTGCTCACTTGAGGGTGGGGCCTCTTGAGGAAGAGACTCCCAGGAGACCCAGAAGCAACATACCTTCAGCAAAGTGAAGTGGAAGGAGCACCAGACTGGGAGCTGGGACCTAGACTGAGCTCTGCCAGCTCATTGGCCACAAGGCCTCAAGCTAGTCATTCACTTTAGCCTCTCTGAGCTTTAGTTGCCTCATCTCCAAAGTGGGGGTGGAAGGAGCCCTAGCCTGGGATCTGGGAGGCTAGGTTCTAGCTCAGCTCTGCCTCTGACTGGCTGTGTACAGGTCTGGGAAAGTCCTGATCCCCTCTGGGCCTCAGTTTCCCCATTTGCACGTTGGAAGTTGGTGATGATGTGGATGCTGCCCTTCAGCTTTGGCTGACAGGTCTCAGACTGAGGTCAGTTAAGGCTCTGTCTTGCCGATGTAGGGTTCCTCAGGTGGATCAGCATGTGTGTGGCAAGGTGGGTTAGTGTCAGTCCCAGGTGAGGTCTGTGTAGTCATAGGTGTGAAACGGAACTCATATCATCTCTAGGCAGGACTGGATAGGCAGCTGCAGGCTCCTTCATCTGCCTCACTTTCCCCTTCTATCCATTTTTGGGGAAAGAGGTAGACTGATCCCTCTGGGCTCTGAAATCCTGAGAGAAAGCCTGGGAGGGGACAGGAGCACTCCCAGGCAGTAGGGCCTGGGGGCTTCTACCTAGGCCAAGAGCCACAGCACTAAGCCTAGGGTGGCTGAGTGAGGGAAGGGCGGTTCCGGGCAGCTCTGGTGCCTAGACCTGGGACCTAAATGTGGAGTTGTGATTTGTAAGAGAAGTAGAGGTCCTCCATGGTCACCCCAGAGGGATGGGTCAGAGGGTGGAGGCCGAGAGAGGCTGAGTCTACTCGGGCCTCCTGGATCCTAGGTTCCTGCTCCTTCTTTCCTGCCATGTGGCCAGTAGGCTGGGGTATGGAGAGCCCAAAAGGAGGTTGGCAGGGGCTGGGCAAAGGTCTGGCTTGGAGCCTGGGCTTGGGGAACAGGGTCTCCTCTAGCTTCACTCTTCTCCCACCCTGGGATCAGCCAGGTCCACAGAGGCAGAACTACAAGGTTTCCCAGAGCAAGATTTACTAAGGAGCTCTGGTGGTGTAGTGCCTAAGGCATTTGACTGCTAACCAGAAGGTTAGTGGTTCAAACCCACCAGCCACTCCATGGAAGGGAGACAGGGCAATCTACTTCCACAAAGATTTATTGCCTCGGAAACCCAACAGGGGTCAAGTCACTATGAGTTGGAATCGACTCAATGGCAGTGGGGTTGGTTGGTTTTTTGGAAGCCCCTCCCTGACCAGTGTCCTCATCTAGAATGCCCCTTCCCCAGGGATCGATATTGTGTCTCTCCCTGGGCAGTAACGTGGGCTGAAGGCTACATTCTGAATTGGGGGGTGGGATATGGAGGAACCTCCTGAGACCTCTGAGCCCAACTCTGCTGCTGATTCACCCAGTTAATGAGTGGTTGGTGGTAGCATGTAGCACTGTAAGCGCCCTGACTGGGGTTACAGAGAGACCCTGGAACCCACATTACTTCAAGGGGTGCTCTCCCTCACACCCCAAGGCTGACTGCTGGGTCTTTGGTTTGGAATTCATTATATGACCTGACTTCTGTGCCTGAGAAGAATGCTATGGAGGGCATGTGTGGGAAGGTGGCCAAGGGAAGGTGACCTAATCTGGGCCAGGTACCCTAGAGCTGCCTGAGGGTAGAACTACAGATGCCCCCAGGAAACTGACTCAAACCAGGGAGGACAGTGAGGAGACTGTAGAAAGCCACGCAGGAGATGATGGTGCTCCACCCTAAAGGGAGTGGCTGGATTTGAGAAGCTTTATGGAGGAGGACCACCCAAGTGTGGAGATGGGCTGGGTGTAGTGGAAAGGGAGAGAGAGGATGTGGTTCCTGTGACGGGGTGGCAGGTGAAATCAATCACCAAGTTTGTGTTACCCTGAAATATCCTTGCTAATGCGGGACTGTGTTGGTGGTAGGCATATAAAACCACCATGGGTGGGGAAACCAAGGCCTGGGGAAAGATGGTGACTTGTTCAAGGTCACTTGGTGAGTGAGCAGCCCTGCCAGAGCTTGAGCTTAGGTCTGATGCTCCCCAGCCAATCCCAGAAGACCCCTGATCCCATGAGAGACGCCCTCGGTTCCCCGGCCTCCCCCCACAGACCCTTCTGCAAGGACCTTGCCTGTGAACCCTCTTTCCCCTCTGTTCCTATTCTGTCCTCTCTTCCACACTGTCCCCCTTTGCCCCCACCCCTAGATAAACCAAAATGATTTCAATTAGGGATCGGCTGAAGTGAGGCAAGCCCGGCAAGATGTCCAGACGGGTAACTCCCCCACCTCCTGCTCTAATGCTTGATTACCTCCCTGAGGGGGGACTTAGTTAGAGACGGTCATTACCACTAATTACCAGATGACCGAATCGCCCTCCGCAAAGTGGAATGCTGCAGCCTCCCCCTCCGCCTCCTGATCTCCCAGCCTGCACGCTCCGCTCCGAGGCGGCCTTCTTTCTCCCCCTGCACGAAGCGTGGTGGCTGGTGACTCAGTTCATGGTGGGGCACTCCCACGGGGCAGCGCTGGCTGCTCCCTGCCCCAGCCACTCGCTCACCAGCTCCTTCTGCCTCTGCGGCAGGTCCCTGGTCTTCTGTACTGCCTCTACCCTCAGTCCCCCAGGTGCCTCCATACAGCTTCCCATTTGTCCTCTGCACTCCTGGGCAGTCTGAGCCCCCACCTGGAGTGTCACAGGAAGATTTCCATTAAAACATCTCTTTTCCCAGCCAGTTGCGGAGGCTTGCAACTTCAGAGATGAAGAAACTGAGACCCGGAGTGGGTCCCCCAGCCAATGAGAGCACAGAGCATTCCCCTAAAATTCCAGCACCCACCCAGCAGCACCCGGGAATTGTCCCTTGGCCAGAGCTGAGCGCCCCAGGAAAAGGCTCAGCCCATGTCATCTGTCTTCTTGGCATGAGCGGATGCTGAGGGGAAGCAATGGAAGGCAGCCCCTTTTTGAGCCCCTGTTTGAGTGCTCGCTGGGTGCCTGGTCCTGGGTGTTTCACTTGCTGAATCTCATTTAGTCCTTCCCATTTTACAGCTGAGAAAATAGGCTCAGAGGGAAAGGGAGGGAAGCTCGGCAAAGATGGTGGGCAGAGTGGGCTGGAGACAGACAGCATTGACACCCCCAGCTCAGTGCTCAGCAGAGAGAGAGCTGAATGAGGGGCCTGATGGGGAGGGGAGACCTCAGGGGGAGGTGGCACAGCTGTGCCCTGGAGCCTCTGGCATAGACTCCCTGGGGGAGACCAGGCCAGCCCAGCCCCTGGCCCAGCCTCAGTGTCTTTGTACAAAGGCAGGTAATAGTCCTATCCAAGCCCACTCCTCTGGGCCTTCTATGAATGGGATGAGACGTGAAACTCTAGAGGCTCTGTAAACTGAAGTACGGTTCCTGTGTTGGGTAGTTACTTCAGAGCAGCACATGTGTGTCACCAGTGTGAACCCCCTGGTGCTGCTGAGTGGAGGCCGAGGTGATAACATATGTCTTTGTGTGGTCAAACGCCACCCAGCAAGGGCTGCAGGAATTCAGGCAACAGGTTCCCAGTGTTTCGGGAAACGAGTGGCTCCAAAGGCTAAGAAGGACCAGTGCAGTTGGATTTGGGTCAAGACACCATGACAAGGGTTTGCCCTGTGCTGGGCTCTGGAGTCCAGATACACCAGACATTTATATTCTCATAGTTTGGGGTGTGGAGGCTGGGCCAAGAGTCACAATGAAGGGAGACCCTCAGCACACCCACAACAATCTCAGATAAGCTGGGCGGTGCCATTCTGACTTCAGACACTAGGCCCAGCCTGCTTCCTGGACTTCTGGGAAGGTTCATATAGTTGGGGTTTTAGGATGGGTGGGGCAGGGCAGAGAGTGAGAGGCCGGAGGAAGTAAATTAACCTGTTGAGTGTGTAATGTAACACGTAGCATCTCATTCGGCCCTTGTAAGACTCCTACAATGTTGAGGGTCCCATTTTGTAACTGATGCTCAAACAGAGATAGCAGTTTACCCAAGATTACACAGTACATAAAGGTCAAAGCTTGAGCTAGAACCCCAGTCTTCTGGGCGGGGATTCCAGAATCTCAGCCTGTCTGGGTCTCAGCCCTGGTCCTGGGTGAGGACAGCTATGACAGCAGCAGGAGAGTCACTCAGCCCTTGTGGCTGCAGATTAGCCTCCTCTTGGCTCTTCTGTCCCTTCAGGGTCTTCGCTGGGTTGCCGAGGGCCGGAGTCCCTGTTGCCATGGGTGGGGATGCTGAAGGGGAGTATATGTGGAGCCCTTTAGGGGAGCCCCTCTAGCCAGCACTTAGAGGGAATGCTGCCTGAAGCAGTCTGCTCCTCAGAGAAGGCCCAGGAGAGGGAGGCTGATCTGGGATGGTCCTAGAGTCTTGGATCCCAGTGCCCAGAGCCTGGACCTGGAAAGCCCGTAGGTCCTACAATATCACCAGGGATCACAGAGCTCCTCTAGGCTGGCATTTCCCAAAGCATGAATGGGGTCTGCACTTCTCAAACATTGAACTTTTTGCTCAATGTGCTCAGCAGACTCTGAAATAAAACCAAGCCTTTTGCTTTGCTGCAAGACATCTCAGAGCTTTTAAAATATAAGTTTTCATCATGACTTTCCAAGAGGGGACTTGTACACCATGTTCCCCAAATGTACTTGACCAAAGAACCTTTTTTCCAAAGTTTCATGGGAACCCATTCTGAGAAATGCAGTTTATAGGTACAGACAGTGAGGCCCAGAGACGGGCAATGATTTCTCTAAGGTCACACAGCAAATGTGTGGCAGAGTCTACAGTGCAAACTAAATTTTCTGAGTTCCAATCAATCACAAAATAGAGAACAATCTCCAGCACGTATATAGGAATTTGTTGTTGTTGTTGTTGTTATATGCCGTCGAGTCGGACCCGACTCATAGCGACCCCTCCTTGGGTTTCCGAGGCAGTAGCATAGTGGCTAAGGCACTTGACTGCTAACCAGAAGGCTGGCGGTTCAAACCCCCCAGCCACTCCTACGGAAGGAAGGTTGGGCAATCCTACTTCCATAGTGATACTGCCTCGGAAACCCAAGGAGGGGTCGCTATGAGTCGGGGCCGACTCGACGGCAAACAACAACAACAAACAACATCACTAAGGAAGTAGATTGCCCCATCTTCCTTCCGAGGAGTGGCTGGTGGGTTTGAACCGCCAGCCTTCTGGTTAGCAGTCAAGTGCCTTAGCCATTATGCTACCAGAGCTCCCATATAGGAATTTATGTCCTAATAAATGGTTTGAATAATTAATGAAACAGCAATGGGCAGCTAGCTCTTAACTCAAGCTGCACATAGTAAGTGCTCAGTAAAGGGTATGCACTGTTATGATGATTATAAATCCAGCACTCCATACAGTATCTGGCACATAGTATGTGTTCAAAGTCCAATAAATGAATAAAGTATAAGCATCCCAACTCACAAAGCTGCGTGAGAACGGAATAAGTAAGTTAGTGGGTGTGAGCTATCAGTGAACCGTAAAACTGTTTATTGTTACTATAGCGATCATAGCACTTAGTTAGGAGAGGGGGCACAATCCTGTTATGAATTATGGCCTATGGCCCAGAGAGGGTCAGTGATGTGCCCAAGGTCACACAAGTCAGAGGGGAAGCCATGACACTGCCCATGATGGCGTTTTGCCTTCTGAGTTCCTGGCTATCTTTCAACAAAGGGCCCCAGAAACCACTGAGGAGAAGGCTGGGACCAGCAGGGCAGGTGAAGGCATTGCCATCTCTCATAGCCCTTTTTTTTCTTTCCACTGGTTGCTGCCCTTTGGCTGTATAGGGCGCTGTCCAAGACGCCGGCAGCCCTGGCACTGAACCAGACGCAGCACTGCAAGCAGCTAGAGGGCCTGGTGTCTGCACAGGTGCAGCTGTGCCGCAGCAACCTGGAGCTCATGCACACCATCGTACACGCTGCCCGTGAGGTCATGAAGGCCTGCCGCAGGGCCTTTGCAGACATGCGCTGGAATTGCTCCTCTATTGAGCTCGCCCCTAACTACCTGCTTGACCTGGAGAGAGGTAGGGAGCTTATGGAGGCTGCTAAGGCTTGCTGAATGCATGCAAGTGGGGATGAATGAATACAGGCATAAATATACATGTTTAGATAGGTGGATGAGTTCATGCATGGATGGATAGATGAATCTGTGAATAGACAAATGGGTGAAGAGATGGATAAAGGCATAGATGGACATATGGATGGATGAATTAATGATGAATTAATTCACAGACACAGGTATTCAGGTGTGAATTAATGAGTGGATAAACATCTGGAATGAATGAATGTTCCTGTGCAGGATACAGTACAAATGCATGTGTACCCTAATGCATAGACGAAGGGCTGAATGATGCCTGCATCGTGACCCAAGGTCATTATCTGCTATATTAAAGGCCACATGGCAGAGAGGCTCTTGGTATTTAAAAGAGAATGCTATACATTTGCTAAAATCCAACAGCCTTTCTTGATGAAAACCCTAAAGAAGACAGGAATAGAAGGGAAATTCCTCAATATGATTCAGGGCATATATGAAAAGCCATCTGCCAATATTTTACTTAATGGAGAATGACTGAGAGCTTTCCCCTTGAAGTCAGGAAAAAGACATCATTTCTATTCAGTATTGTATTAGAAGTCCTAGCCAGAGCAATAAGACAAGAGAAAGAGTAAAAGATACCCAGATTGGAAAAGAAGAAATAAAATTACCTCTATTGGCAGATGAAATAAACGTTTCATGAAATGAAAAAAAGAGAGAGAATGTTATCTGAGCTCACCCTCAGGAAAGAAACAGAGGACCCATAAGTAATTCTGGACCATTCAGACTGAAATTTCTGTGAGACCCATGTGCAGTAGAGAGCTTCTGATAGACAGAAACACTGTAGTGGATTTAAACTCTCCCTTTCATGGCAACAATGTCTCTCATGGACACAACTTCCTTCCTTCCTTCCCAAATTATTTAAACAACCCTGTGAGGTAGGTATTATCACCCCTGTTTTACAGTTTAGGAAACGAAGGCTCAGGGAGAGGGTGGAGTCAGGGCTCAGAGCTGAGACCTTTCCACAGCAGCCCATAGCTGAGGCATGCACGTCTTTACATGCACGTCTCACTCATCAGGTCGTGAGTTCTTGGAAGAGCTCAGGACTGTGCCCTCATTTCTGTAAAGCAGCCCTAACATAGTGCAGGAGCCGGCGGGGGCAAGAGCACTGCACTGAGTGTGTCGGAGTAGAAGGATGTGAATCGGAGGGTGCCTGTGACGATGTAAGGGGGGGTGTCTGCTGGCTCATGTGAGTGTGCAAGTGGGTGAGTGTGTTTGTGGGAGAATGTGAACAGGTAGGATGACAGCTTGAGGGCCCTGGTGCTGTCCTCCACCTTCCCCACCCTGCTCCCACACTCTGCCCCACCCAGCTAGGCAAGGAACAAGGGGGGAAAATGGGGAGCTGAGGAGGAGGGTGGAAGCCCCAGCTAACGGCCTGCCCCCTGCTCCTCAGGGACCCGGGAGTCGGCCTTCGTGTATGCCCTGTCGGCGGCCGCCATCAGCCACGCCATCGCCCGGGCCTGCACCTCCGGCGACCTGCCCGGCTGCTCCTGCGGCCCTGTCCCAGGTGAGCCACCCGGGCCCGGGAACCGCTGGGGAGGATGTGCGGACAACCTCAGCTACGGGCTCCTCATGGGGGCCAAGTTTTCCGATGCTCCTATGAAGGTGAAAAAAACAGGATCCCAAGCCAATAAACTGATGCGGCTACACAACAGTGAAGTGGGGAGACAGGTAACCACCCACCCCACCCGCCCCCAGATGGTTGTGCTTGTGCCATTGGCCAGAAGAGGGCCACCCGGTGTGCACCAATGGAGGGGGACGGGAGGACGGGCCCTAACTGACCCACACCTCACTGCTACCCACCTCCTGCTCTGTCCAGTCCAGCCAGTGGGGGCTTGTGGGGCTCCTCCTTCAGGGGGCCCACCAGGATTTGGATTAGAGACTGTTGAAAGGGCAGAATAAGCCCTGAGCAAGGAGCCAGGAGCTCTGAGTTCTGGCTTTAGCTCTGGCATGAATTTGCTGTGTTGGGCAAGTCACTTCTGCACTGGCCTCAGTTGTTGCCATCTGTAAAATGGCCTCAGTCTGTAAACGGTGGGGTGATTTGATGCTCTCTATCGCCACTTGCTGGGGCCCTTGGGTTCTTTGTCTGGAGCTCTGCTCAGAGGATTGTTGGTTTGAGAGGAGGCATGGAGAGGGCTGTGGGGCAATAGAATCTTATACTAAGGAGTCATCTCCTTGTATTTAATGAGAACTCCCTCCCCAGCTTCCAGCCCACCTCAACCTTGAAAACACAGCATTTCCCCAACACTTATTATGATCAGTTTTTCAGTAATTCCTCACCTCATTCCACAAAAGGTTGGGTAAGTGGATACATAAATGAATAGATGGAGGTTTTTAGTTTTTGAAAATTTAAAAATATATACAGAACAACCATATATCGATCTGGGTGCCAGGCACCATGCCATGTGCATTATTATTTCTGTCTCCTGTGATCCACAAAACAGCCCTGTGGGGAGGTACTATTAGCCCCTGTTAGATGGGGAAATGGGCCTAGCAAGGGGCAGCCTGGCTTCTGAGCAAGCATCGTGTCCAGATGTCCTTGTCATCTCAGTCACTCCCCCCTGCAGCCCTGCTCTCCCCATTTTACAGAGGCACCAAGTGAGTCATAATGACCTTGTGTGCTTGGCCAAGGTCACACAGGGAAGATAGAACCCAGGTTTGTGGGACTCCAAGTCCAGGGGCTCCATGCCCTCACCTTTTCCTTGCACTGGTCTCTCTCGTGTGAGGATTCTAGGATGTCCAGGCCAGCCTTGACAGTTGGAGAAACTGAAGCCAAGTCACAACGTGGGTCTATGGCAGAGCCTAGCTGGGCATGCAGGACTTCACCTCTCAGCTGTGGTGACCTGCACCCAGAGCCATGGAGACTCAGCAGGAGCCCTTCACCCAGCTGCTGGGCCAAGAGCCAGCCCCCATTTCATGCCTCCCAATGCATCCTAAGTGGGTCCTCACCCTCAGGTGCAAATGAGGCCTGTTCCTTGGGCCCAGATGCTATGGAGCTGGCCTCCCTGGGACCATCTGCAAAATGGGCACAGTACCCTTCCCCCAAGGCAAAGGGCCTATGTGAGGATTAAATGAGATCATGAAATAAAGAGACGATCAAAATGCCTGTCATACAGTAGCCCTCAGAAGCTCCTGGCCCTCCTCAGCCCCCTACCTCCCCCTGGCTTATGCTCAGGAACTAAGCATAGTTGACCTTTCATTTGACTCAAAAGCCCCTCGATGTCCTGGGAAGTCACGCATGCCTCTGCGGCTATGCTTACCTCATTCCCGTGCTCTCCATATTCCACGTTATATACCCAAGTGGGCTCCCTCGGTATCCACTTCCTGGCACTATGAGGACAAAGGTGCCCTGAGAACATGCCCTCTCTCTGTGGCTCAGTTTCCCCATCTCTTTGATGTAGAAGATGGGCACAAGTGACCTGGGACCTTTGCAGCTCTTTTCACAGGGCAGGTGCATAGAAGGATTTAAAAGGCAAAATTGGAAGGCCCTTTGAAGGCTTCTAACCCATTGCCCCTCACATGGAGATAGGGAAACTGAGGCCTGAGGAAAATGGTGGGATGGTATCACTTCAAAGCCAGGGCTAGCATCTCACCAAGCCCTAGAGCCCTTTTTCCACTAGAATTATTACTTAAACTGATTTTTTAAAACTAATGTCGATTTAACTTTTTTAGTTCACAAAAGCCTCTCATATAGGCCATCTCATTTAATCCATGCAAGAACTCTGCAAGGTAGGAATTATGTGCCTATTTTGCATATAAGAAAACAGAGGTACTCAGTGGTTAAGTGGCTTGCTCAGGTCACCTGGCAGAGAACTGGCAAGAGGGAAAAGACAAGCCAGGTCAAGGGGGCTTGCCCCAGGCACTCACTTCTCGTCTCTCGTCCTTTCTTTCCCCCCTCACTGCCTTCCTCTTTTCTTCTCCTCTTTCCCTCCTTCTCCCCTTCCTTCTTTTTTTTCTCCCAACAAACGTATAGTGATCCCTACTTTCGTGTGAGAGAAAGCATAGAACAATAAAAAGCTGCAGCTTTTGTAATCACCCTCTGACCTGGGTTCAAATCCCAGTTCTAAGATTTTCTAGCTGTGCAACCTTGAGCATGTAACTTAGCCTCTCTGGGCTTTTGTTTTTAATTTCTTTGCAAAATGGGGAAGAAATAATGATACCTCCCTTTGAAGGCTATTGTAACCATTAAATGCTATCAAGTGTTAGAGTACTTGGTATAGAGTAGGGGCTTAATAAATGGTATCCATTATCCCTGCAAAGGTCACTCTCTCTGCCTGCCTCTCTCAGCTGCCCCCCCGGTTGAAGGAGGAACAGCGGACCTGCAGTGCAACACTTCCCAGCTTTAGAACAAAAACTCCGTCACCTGAGGCCCAGAGTGGGTAGTGACCCGTGAGAGCACCCAGACACATGGGTGGGAGTTGTAGAGGGCCAGGGTCCCGGGCAGGCCAGGGAGGGCTCTGGCCACCCAGCCCAACGCCCTCCCCTGTCTGCAGGCTCTCCGTGCCTCTCTGGAAGTGAAGTGTAAGTGCCACGGGGTATCTGGCTCCTGCTCCATCCGCACCTGCTGGAAGGGGTTACAGGAGCTGCGAGACGTGGCCACTGACCTCAAGACCCGCTACCTGTCGGCCACCAAGGTAGTTCACCGACCCATGGGCACTCGCAAGCACCTGGTGCCCAAGGATCTGGATATCCGGCCTGTGAAGGACTCAGAGCTTGTCTACCTGCAGAGCTCGCCTGACTTCTGCATGAAGAATGAGAAAGTGGGCTCCCACGGGACGCAGGACAGGTAAGGGCTTGACACCAGCCTGGCAAGAAAGGCCATGAACACACAGCTGGGTCTCAGTTGGCATCTGGGGGATAGAGTCCCTCACCAGCTGAGGGAGATGGCCCCAGGATACCAAAATGGAAATGCCACTCTCCACAGCAGAGCTTCTGGGAGTGCCTGCTGTGCACCTTGCCCAGGCAGGGGCCTGTGGAGAACAGAGACTGCAAGAGGCCCTGCTCCACTTACCCTAATCTGGGAGAAGGAGATGGGAAGAAACAATGACTAAATTAGGAGACAGGGAAAGAGGTTGCCCAGTCATGAAAAGTTACAAAATGGCACTGAGTGTGCACGAGAGGTATGTGAAGCAATAGGAGGATGCTGACCTCTTGAGAATGAAGGCAGACTTCATAGAGGAGGGCCCTGGAGGATGAAGAGAAGTTTGCTGGGCTCACATGTAAGATGAGGACATGCCAGACTAAGGGAGTGATGCATACAGTGACCCCCTAAGGCTGGGCACAGTGAGACTGCTCCCCAAGTCCCAAGCCCTAGAACCCTTCCAGGGCAGAGGTAGTTTCCATTGAAGGCAAGCCGGGTCTCACTGGTCTCTGGGCCAAGCATTGCCCCAGCCAGCTCCTGATCTTTACCAGCTGCCCCACAGACTTACGCCCCGGCTGCCCAGTCAGCGCACCAGGATCACAAATGGGATTTAGAGAGCATTTTGGAGCTGGATAGAGCCTTGGAGGCCTTCTAAAAGATTTTCTTGAAATGTTAGCTCTCCTGCTTCCTTTCCTCAAGAGCTCTCCAGGGCTCCCTGCTGCCTGCAGATTCCAGTTTGCACCTTAAAATAGCACCAGGCTCTGCAGAGGCTGCCCCATCAACCACTCCACCAAGCCCTGCCCCTGCCTACCCGCAGACCCCTGCCTGTTGTAGTGTCCTTTCCTTCTGCCCATCTGCTAAGCTTCCCAGCCTCAGCTCAAGAGCTGCTTCCCCTGAAGGGACCCTGATTTCAGTGGGTTCTCCTATGCCTCTGTCCCGTGCCCGGGGCAGCCACCTCCGCTCTGGGAGCCTCAGGTTCCTCACCCCTGCAGTGGAGAGTGGGAACTTCTTCCTCATAGGATGATGTAAGGAGCCCTGAGTATGCATTTACTGCATAAGGAGGGACCCAGAGCTCCATCAGCTTCCTAGTGTGGCTAGGAGCCTGGCTGGTAAAACCTCCACCTCCTTGGCAGGGCCGGTCTCACCATCCTAGAATCCCTTAGGGTGCCTGATGGTGGACTCAACAGAAAATAGGCCCTCAATAAGTGTTTGTTGAATGAATATATGAAATAAAGATAAATGTCATACAACTTCTTTATTGGACACATGAGGAACGGAGGCCCAAGGAGAGGTGGGGACAGTGGCCAGCCTGTGGCTCCCCAGGAAGTCCCCACAGAACTGCAGGCAGAGCCAGGGACTCACACACCATTCCTCAGAGGCACAGCCTTTGTTAGAGTGAGGTAGGCCGGCATTCTGTGGAGAGCTGGTGCCCCATGTCCAACACATGTGTGCCTTCCTCTGGGCCCAGCACTCTTCTATCTCCTTCTGGAGACCCCTTGGTCCCGTTTCAGAGCTGGGGCTGGGCTCCTTCTGGATGGCCCCATCATGGCTATTGCGGCTGCTCAAGGAGCCAGTGTTGGCTGCGGACCTATTGTGTGCTGGGTTAGGCTGGGGAGGATTCAGGAGGCAGCATTTCCCAAAGATGGTTCCGGAGAAAGCTAGTCCTGAGATGCTGTAATAGAGTGAGTTCTGCAATCAAATACATCTGGGAAATTCTCTTTGGTGATTCAGGAGGCCCAATAACCTATTAAAGGCTCTGAGGAATCCTGCAGCAAAGGCTCTGGCTAAGCCAGTGTTTCCCGAAGGTGTTTGCCTGTGGAACTCTTTTATTAAGGAGCCCCTAATAGCATTCCACAAAACTAGTGTTTTGCAGGGTAAAAAGAATATTGAACCAGAGTGAGGGTGTCTGAGAACGAGTCTGGCACATAGTTGGTACCCAGCCAGCATTTGCTTCCTCCGCAGCCCACAATCCTGTCTCCAGGAGAGGGAGGGGTACCTTGGGGGCTGCATCCTCACAGGCCAGGGCAGCAGACTCTTCCTCCAGGGAGGAGGCCCAGGCTCCCATCTGGAGGCCAGATTGAAGGGGATGGGCGGATGCGAGTGAAGATGGAACCAGGTCAGGCTCATGAGACAGGAAGGAGCAGAGGGCTTGGGCTAAGGCAGCCGGGGTGGGTGTGATGAGGACATGGTGGGGTGGAGTTCTGGAAACAAGGGGGCTGAGGACAGCACACTGCGTACCCTAGCGCAAACAGAGGGTCTTCCAGGAGCCAGTGAGGGGCTGTGTGTTTGTCAGTTCTGATCTTGAAGCAGCAGCTTCCCATCCCTCATCTGAGGCTCAGTTTCATCTCCTGTGCGGTGGGGACTGTAGCACACCCCTTATAGGGTTGGTGGATGACACACAGTGACACGGATGGTGCATCTCTGCTGTGCCAGGTGGTGATAGTCCCATGGGAGGTCTCAGTACAGGCAGTCTCCTTTCCCTCCAATCCCCAGGCTGCCAAGCTTCTTCCTTCCCACCTGCCCCCAACTCTGCCCTATGACCTATCTTCACAGTACTAACGAGAAGACCCCATCCCCACAGGACCACCCACCAGCAGCCCCGGCCTCCTGCTGCACTCAGCTTTCTGGCATTCCTCAAGGGATGGGCCTTCACAGACACCTGTATTGGTCAGCTGCGATCACAGAAAAACAAGCCCAGTATCTCAGTAGCTTATAACCACACACACTTACTTCTTGCACCCATTACATGAGTCAGCTGTGCTTTGCCTGAGTTCTAGCAGGTGTAGTGAGAGAGACATCAAGTGCTCAGTTGTGGCAGAAAAATCCAGAGGCTAGAGGGGCCTTCACCCATTCTGGACATCAGGGAAGGCAGGAAGCCTGCCTGGAAGAGGGGAGATGGGAGTTTTTTTAGGTTAGGTCATCTGGGGGTCCTAGGGTTGGCTGTATATAAGCTTTGTTAACTGTAAAGGGCAGGTGTACAGGGCATCTCTCAAGAGGCTGGCTCCTTGCTGGAGAAGATGCCTCATAGTCTTCCTCAAATTCACCATGAGGAAACTGAGGCCTCTATTGCATACTCTAAACCCCATCCCTCTTGTCATGTTTCTTGCAGAGGTGCATGCCCCACCCCGACCCTGGGAACCAGGCATCCAAGTGGTCCTTCCTCCAGGCCCTACCTCTGTAACTCCCCTTCCCAAGCACCATGTTGTTGTTGTTTGCCGTTGAGTCGGCCCCGACTCATAGCGACCCCTCCTTGGGTTTCCGAGGCAGTATCACTATGGAAGTAGGATTGCCCAACCTTCCTTTCGAGGAGTAGCTGGTGGGTTTGAACCGCCAGCCTTCTGGTGAGCAGTCAAGTGCCTTAGGCAGCATGCCACCAGAGCTCCTTCCCAAGCACCATATCAGGCATCATCTGGCTCTGAGGTTGGAGACCTCATTTTCAGACATTGCATCTCCGGGGTCCAGAAATAAAAATGGAACTGTGTTCTCTTCTTACACCTAAGAGGGAGAGGTCAGCTAGAGGCCTTCAGGAGAAAGTTGAGGGAAATTAATGTGTATTGAGTGGGTAAACTGAAGCCCAGAGAGGTTAAGTGACTGCCTAAAGTCACATAGCCAGTAAGCAGGGGAGCTGGGATTTGAATCCAGATCTGTCTGGTTTTCAGGTGTTCTTCCTGTTGCCCCTTGCCTCCTGCCCAGGAACTGCTTGCAGCCCCCACATATAAGTTACCTCCTAACTCTGTTGAGGTGCTCCCCTCCTTCCTACCACATGACCCCTACCCAGCTCAGACTGCTGCCCCAGCCTCCTCCCTGGCCCCCCTGCATCCAGCCCTATTCCTTCCATCTGTTTTCTCACTGTTCTTAGGCCAGGTCAAGTTCATTGCCTTTTCCCTCCTCTGTATGTTAGATTCCTGTTCATTGTACAGGAAATGTCCCAGATGACCCCTCCTCCAGGAAGTCTTCCTGAACTCCCACAGACACTGTGCTCACCCTGTGTGACCTTAGGCAAGTCCCTTCCCCATTCTGAGCCTTTTTTTTCCCCATCAATAAATGTGAGGGTTGAATTTCATCATCTCTAGGGCTTTCCCCAGAAGGAAGACAGGGCGATCTACTTCCATAAGGATTTATAGCTTCAGAAACCCAGTGGGGTTCGCTATGATTCGGAAATGACTCGATGGCAGTGAGTTTGGTGTTTTGGTTTGAGGGCTTTCCTGAGGACCCCTGGTGGTGCAGTGGTTAAGTACTCAGCTACTAACCAAAAGATCAGTGGTTCAAACCCATCAGCTGCTCTTTGGGAGAAAGATGAGACCTTCTGCTTCCATAAAGATTATAGCTGTGGAAACCCTATAGGGCAGTTCTACTCTGTGCTATAGGGTCACTCTGAGTTAGAATCGACTTGACAGCGGTGGGTTTTTGGGTAGGGCTTTCCCATTGCAGTCTTTTGAGACTCCTCTGTCCACACAGCTGTGGGGATATTTTTACCCCTGCCTTGTATTCCAGGGCACCGCTGCTCCATCCCCAACTGCATCCCAGGGAAACATCCCCTCTCTGAGCTTACCCCTCAGCCCTGCTAAAGCGATTGCCAATCTGAACAGATGTTTTACACTAGACAGAAGAATTGATGACAGTGCTTGCTTCGGCAGCACATATACTAAAATTGGAATGATGCAGAGATTGGCATGGCCCCTGCGCAAGGATGACACGCAAATTCGTGAAGCGTTCCATATTTTTAAAGTGTATGTGAACTGCTGTATGGAAAGTGTATTTGCTCTGTAAATTTTCACCCAAATCACAATAAAAAGAAAAAAAGAAAAGAATTGATGACAAATGCATTTTATAGGGATGTTCAATGTTGTCTTTTCCCAAAAGAGTGATTCAGGAAGAAATGTAGCCCCTAGCAGGTCCATGGATTCAAAACCCTTCAGGGAGGGGAGAGAGAGAGCAAAGGACTTGGTTTCAAGACAGTTGAGGTTAAACCCTGCTCATTCATAGACTCCCTGTGAGACCCTGAGCAGGCCTCTGCCCTGATCTGGGCCCATTTTCCCATCTGTATAATGGGCACAGAAGCTCTGGTGGCATAGTGCCTAAGGCATTTGACTGCTAACCAGAAGGCTGGCAGTTCAAACCCACCAGCCACTCGTTGGAAGAAAGATTAGGCAATCTGCTTCCGTGGAGATACTGTCTTGGAAATCCATGGAGGGGTTGCTATGAGTCAAATCGACTTGATGGCAGTGAATTTGGTTTTTTATAATGGGCATAATCATTACACCTACCCAAGGACACTGTGCACTTCCAATAAGATAAAATACTTAAAGGGAAGTGCTTGGCACATAGGAACCAAGTAGGTGACACACGAATATTCCTTCCACAAACAATGGACCACACTCTCACTTTGCCTCACAGCCAATGTCATTTTGAGTGTTTCAACTTTTGTTCTGGGGTTCTAAAGGCAAAAAGAATCTTTAAATTTGTTATAATATGATTAAAGATTAAATATGAAGATAGGATTATTAGACAGGTTGACTTGAGAGTCCTTCAAGTATTTAGAAGTAAGAAGAAACAGAAAAAAGATAACTCTGAAAACAAAACAACCCTATCATGTTGGTAAGTGCTTATTAGAACCTAGGGCAAAGTTACAAGTACCATCTGAGAAGGAGCCCTGGTGGTGTAATTGTTAAGTACTCGGCTGCTGACCTAAAGGTAGGCAGTTCGAATCCACCAGCGACTCTGAGGGAGAATGATGACCTGGTGATATGCTTCTGTAAAGATGAGAGCCGAGAAACCCCTGTGGGGCAGTCCTCCTCTGTCATATGGGTTGCTGTGAGTTGAAATTGACTCGAGGGCACCCAACAACAATGCCCTTAGAGAAGCTGATTATTTTAAATTCCCCAAAGATTAAGATCCAGAGGGGAACACCTTCCCAGGGGGAGTTGAGTCTGGGACTGTGGTTGAGGCAGGCTGGCAAGTGTGAGGGGTTGGGGTTGGTGACTGGAACACGGCTTACTGACTCTCTCTCCCTCCCCACAGACAGTGCAACAAGACATCCAACGGCAGTGACAGCTGTGACCTCATGTGCTGTGGGCGCGGCTACAACCCCTACACAGACCGAGTGGTCGAGCGGTGCCATTGCAAGTACCACTGGTGCTGCTACGTCACCTGCCGCAAGTGTGAGCGCACGGTGGAGCGCTATGTCTGCAAGTGAGGCCCCGTACCCACCACCCCAGCCCAAACACGGACTCCCTCTGGGAACCCTTGGCAGCCAGGGCAAGGGGCCTGGAGAGACACCCAGTGGATTTTTGCTTTGAAACTCCAGATAGGGGTGCGAGTTGTGCCTTGCCCATTCTTGGAAGCCACCAGGAAAAGAAGGCCTGGCCACTCTGGCCAGAGGGCTGGGACATCAAAGGAAATCGACAAGATTAAAAATAACCTGGCAGCTGAGGCCCCGGGCGCAGGAGTGCCCACACAGCTGCCTTTCAGCCTGGTTTAAGAAGCTGGTAGCATTAGTTTGCCGAGACTAGTATGGACTTGACCTTTCATGGCCAGAGAGACCAGCTTCCCAGGAAGGAGTCTGCCTGCCCTGATCAGAATGTTCTGCAGGTCCGGCTTGCAGAGATCCCCCGGCCGCCAGAGCCCCCAAGCTCGCCCCAGGGTGTGTACTTGCTGGGCCCCATCACATGGAACCACTAGCTTGGGTTGTAAATGTTGTTTTGTTTTGTTTTGTTGGTTGTTTTTTTTCCTCCTCTGGGATGTGGGAGCTACAGAAATATTTATAAAACATAGTTTTTTCTTTGGGGTGGCTTGCCTCAATTCCTCTTTATATATTATATATATATATATATATATATAAGTATATATATAAGTATATATATAAATATATATATAATGTTCTATATTTTAAACAAGCTTTTTAAACAGCTGTATGAAATAAATGCTGAGAGAACCCCAGCCTGCCCCTGCAGTTTCTGGCCTCCTCAAGTGAACTTGGCGGGTCCTGGGGCTGGCAGGGAGAGTGCTCTTGTTTCCAGGTCAGGCGGTCTTCCATTGATGTGCCTCTCTGCCCCACCCCACCCTGGTTTCCCTGTAAGAGCTCTTGGTCAAGGGTGAGGAAAGGTGTCTTGAAACATAAACCCAGCTGGCAGACTCTTTGTTCCTTAGGGACGCACACACACAGGCACACATGCTTGGCCTGGTCATGCTGTCTGACCTGCTAAACCAGCTTCAAGAGAACCCCCACTCCACCCCGGGGCTGGGCACACAGATCAGGAAAAGAAATTGCAGACCCAGGCTGTGGCTAACCCTGGCAGGCGTTCTGAGTGACCCTGGGGAAGGCATTTCCCCTCCCCAGGGTTCATTTTCCACATTTGTAGAGTAGGGGTGGTGGTGATTAAGGTGGGTAGTTGGAAGCCCCAGCCTCATGCCTGGACCAGGCTGGCAGTGGTGCAAGTGGTGAAGAGAGGGGCTGGACTCCTGGTGTGTTTTGGAAGTAGAGCCAACAGGATCTGTTCCCCTTTTGGCTGTGGGGTATGAGAGGAGGAGGATCAAGAATGACTGCAAGGCTTTTGGCTGAAGGATTTGGTGGCGGGGGAAGGCCATTTGTTGAGATGGGGGTGGAGTGCTTTATAGGGGAGGATTGGAATTCAGACTTGGACACATGAAGACTGTGACAGTGTCGGGCTCCCAGTGGAAATACTGAGTAGATGTGCAGAGATTTACGTGTGCAGTTCTGGAGAGAGACTGGGCCTAGAGAGACACATTTGGGGATCATCACTGAGGAGGTTGGTAGGGGAGAAAAGTGGAGGGGACTGAAGCCTAGGCCTAGGGACTTCCACCTTGGAGGTCGGGGAGATGAGGAACTGTCAAAGGAGACAGAAGTCACAGTCGAGGAGGTAGGGGGAAGCCAGGTGGGAGTCCTGACAGCCCAGGGAAACGGTTTCATGGGACGCAGTCACTGCCCCGCTCTGAACTTGAGTTTTATCTCTTGGCACATGGGCAGCACTAATGAATCAATGATGAGTGTCCTCACAAGGGAGCCCCCAGAAAATGGAAGCCATTACCTGACTATATCTTTGCACGCTGTGGGACGATCACACAGACAGGAAAAAAAAAATATATAAGAAAACATTGTCAACTGGATTTCTGTGTCTATAGGAACAGATACTAATGCTGAGGGGAAGGGTCCCTTCCCTAGAGCCAGGTAAGGACTGAGACATTACCTGGTGCTGGGGCAGAGAGGGGCCTAGGCAGGATTCGGGGCAGGTGAAGTCAGCCTTCCTAGAAGTGCGAATGGCACGGACCAACCCCCAGAGGCTAGACGGGTCCGAGGTGCGAGCAGGAGGGTTTTGCTGCCGCCCTCCAAACCCCTGCCTATAACCTCACAGTAGGATGGTCAGAGTCACAGAACCACAGACTGGAAGGGACCCTCAAGATAATACTTTTGGTCTCCCCTCAATCTGCTTTGCAGATGAGGAAATTCAGAGATGGGAAGGAAGGGCCTTTCCTGTGGTCACAGCTGATAAAGGAGGCTGGAGGGCTGAGGGTGGGGGTGCAGGGCCTTCTAAGCCAGAGCTCAGGCCAGTGTCTATGCAGCAAGCTCTTGGTGATTATTTTTCAAGCTTCTGTGAAACAAGCCCCCAGAATATGTTTGCTCCCAGGGCCAGGACCTCACCTTCTCCACAGCCTTCATTCCCTCTCCAGGGCCCACAAACCCAGTCCCCAGTTCCCTGGCTTAGCATCTAAGGCCTACTCCCCAAGACCCCAGCCACTCTTCCAGTGTCCCCTCTGCTCTGGCCACAGGCACACTGCTCCCCAATACTAAAGCCTGACCACATAGATCCCTCCGGGCCTCTGTGGTCCTCTCTGATGGCCTGGAACCACTTCGTTGGAATCTCCCTCTGCTCTCACAGCCCCAGTAGAAGGAGTCTCTCCCTCTCTGGTTCCCACATTCCTTTGAACCTTTAAAGCAAGCATCACCCACACTCACTCACAGTAGTCAATGCTCACTACCCACTCATGGCCCAGGAGAAGGGTTCTCTTCCCCCAGAAAGCCTTCCCTGACCACCCCAAACTGGGGCCAGGGGCCTTGTCAGGGTCCCAAATCTGTGGTGCCCCTTCTGAGGCTGCACTGAGCAGAGAGGGGTGGTGGAAGTCTGTTTTGTCTTCAACTGCCTCTCCTACCCGCCTGGTGGGGCCTGGGATGTGGGCATTGTATACTCAGGACTGAGGACAAAATATGTCTCAGAAATATTGAATATGGGGGCTGATTTTGGACCTTAATCAGCACAATAGGGACATCAGACCAAGAACCCAGAATGGCTCATAGAAAGAGCAGTCCTAATAATACAAAGACTTCCATTTATTGTGCACCTACTGTGTGCTATTTCAAACACATTATCCCAAGTCATCTTCATGCCCCCCACCCTAGGTGGGTATTGTTATCCCATTTGACAGATGGGAACTCTGAGGCTCTGGGAGGAGAGAGAGGTATCTGGCCTCACATCTTATAGGAAGTTGATAGCAGAGCAGGCTGAGCCCGCGTTTGTCTGACACCAAACTCTGCTCCCTTCTCACAGAGCCTCACTCTCCAGCTAGGCGTGGGGAAAAACAACATGGAAGGTGGGAGACTCCTTGCTGGGGGGAGAAGGAGGCCTGGGCCAGGAGGGGAGGCCTCAAAACTCAGGGCAGAACACCCAGCTGGAGTGCTCAGTGGGCCTGGAGACTGCCACTGTGACCAGGCTCTGTACCTTTCTGTCTGGCCAGGAGCTGAGCAACTAAGGGCAAGTGGAGGGCTGGTCCCTGGATGTCCCTCACCTGCCAGCCAGGTGAGAGTTCTAAGAATGCAGCTTGCAGGGCTCCCACTCAGGCGAGGCAATGGGTGTGGCCTCTTCCAGGGTAAAATCACAGGGCCCCAGGAGCTCCCAGAATCTCAGAACTGTAGTATCTCAGTATCTCATTATCTTAAAGATCTACAATAAAATCTTGATATCTAAAAATTTCAGAGTGAAATTCCTCACCCCATTGCATTCAAAGCCCTTGTAGATGCCTCCCAGGCCCAATACTCAAGCCAAAGGGTTTGAAAGGCCTAGGTGATCATCCATGGGTGTCAGAATTCTTTTCACCAGCAGGATTCATGACTCAGGCCATGCTCCAGCCCCCTCCTTCTAAGGGACAGCAGCCTCAGGGCTCTATAAGGCCTAAACAGGCCACCAGAGATGGAGACTCCCAGTGACGATAGAACCAGCTGCTTTGAGGGTTTTCTGGACCAAGTGTGGGAGGTGACCGGAGACACAGGAGAGAGGGGCCTGGGGAAGAGAGACAAGAAGGCGGCAGAGAGGAAACAGGAACTCTTGAAAAGAGGACAAGATTAGTTTGGTGGGAAAGGAGAGAATGGACAGATAAGTCCCCCTGGGGAGGCCTGGTTGAGGCCAGAGGAACAAGCGAGAGGTCCAGGCCCAGGCCCAGCATGCTGATGGTTTGTTGTTCTCGAGATCATGAAGACCAGCTGCCAGGTTACATAGACCAGGCCTCCGGCAGGACGCAGACCCCAGCCTGGGACCCCACACCCAGGAGAGGCTGCACTAGGGTAGTGGCAGTTGTTATCTGGGAGGCAGGAACCCTAGCATCTATTCTACTCTCTTGCTGTGTGACTTTAGGCCACCACTGACTCTCTCGGGGCCTCTGCAGTTGTTGTCTCATTTAATTCTCACAACCATTCTCAGGGGCAGGGGCCCAGCATCTGTGTTTTCTTGATGAGGAAATTAAAGCTCAGAGAGGGAAGCAACTGGCCCAAGTTGCAGCGTGAGAACTGGCAGAGCTGGGATTCGAACTGGTTCCAATTCCCAAGCCTGTTCTCTGCCTCTGTGATGAGCTTCCCAACCATGAAGGTGGCCTCCAGGCTCAGCAGTGATTGACTCTGGGAGCCATTGGAGTGACTGGGCAAGGTGTCACACAGGAGGAGAAGGAGCAGTTCATAACAGAGCCATCCTTGAGCCCTGCAGCAGGGACAGGGTAATGTAGTCCACACAGGGCAAATGAGCGGCCCAGCCCTGGGCTGCTGAGGTCCCCACTCCCATCCCTTCAGGCTTCAGCTCAGTCAGCCCCTTCCTGCCTTGTCCTCCCAGCTGAGGTGTTCCCCAGTGCCCAGCCCCACCTGTGTGTGGGTACATGTTGTTGTTAGGTACCGTTGAGTACCTAACATAGTACTCCAACTCATAGTGACCCTATGTACAACAGAATGAAACACTGCCTGGCCTGTGGGTGTATGTAGCAGGGATGAAACACTTGTGCCCCCCTCAGTGGGCCCCCAACTCTTAGTTATAGTAGAAACTAAGGAAGGAAGAAGGGCAGGCAGAGCCCTGGGGGCTTCAGGGACTTGAGGAAAGAAAGCCGTCTTCTCTTAGGGTGTGGGATTTGTTGTAGTTAGGTGTCACCAAGTTGATTTTTGACTCATAGTGATGGAGTAGAATT